CCTCAGCTGGTCACAGCTAGACAAAGAATGACAGCAGGGCCCCCACATGTTTTAAAAATTCTTGCGGCTCACTGGCTGAAAATTGCTGGTCTAATGCATGAAGGTCATGGGGGAGAGGATATGAAAAGAAACTTCCTGTAGGTGAAGCAGGCATAGTCAGGAGAAGGGACGGCCCTCTGTGCCATGAGGAGCCCGGTCTGGTTGCCCGCCTGGCCGCTCCTCCTCATCCCTTCCTAGTAGGCTCTCTCCAGCAAGCTGGCTAACAGGTGGACCTCCATCAGGTACCGTGGAGCAGAGGTTAAGTGCCAGGCTTCAGCATGAAGACCTGTCTGTCAATATTAGTTGCATGACCTTGCACAAGTTACTTACCCTTTCTGAGCCTCAGTTTCCTCATCTGTGAAGTGTGTTGCTATTTAATAGAGTTGTGAGTCTTAAATGAGATGTTTTGTATGAGGCATGAAGCACGGTGCCTGGCACCCTTAGGGCATCCCCACGTTATATAATATCCAGCCCCATGGCATGCTGGGAGAGGGCAGAAGCCTTCCTGCAGACGGTTGCATAGGACAGTCCAGCAATGGAGGAAGGGTAAAAGCAATCTTGGCATCTGACACTTGGTCCTGACAGCAACCATGAGTCAGCCTCAAGTGCTGAGGGACCGGCAGTGTTCTTAGCACTGCTGGGCGTTTGCTGAGGTCCTTGGCCACGGTCCTCTTCGGTCACACTGTCTGAACATTGTTCTGGTAAATCTGGCCTGGGTTCTTTAAAAACAAAACAAAACAAAACAAAACAAAACAAAAAGAAAACAGCCTCCCAGCGCGATGTCATGGTCCAGCCTGGGTCGGGGAAGGAGGGGAGTAAGTTGTGTGCCGGATCTTATGCCTGGGGTTAGACCTTGTTTCTGGAGGGTTTAATCTGGTCTTGGAAGAAACTCAGTGCTTCTCCCTTGCTTTCAAGACCCGATGGGGAACCAATGCTCCGATCTAGAGTGGTAGGGAAGTGATAAATCATAATGATTAAGGCATGAAGCTTAGTATCAAGCAGCTCTGGGTTCGAATCTTGACTCCTCCAAATACTACCTCCGGGACCTTGGGCAAACCACTCCTCTTTTCTCTTTCACCCATGGATGAGGTGATTCTGATGTTATGGTGGTAAGGTTTAAAGAAATATGTGCAAAGCGCTTAGCACGTGTGTCGGAGAACACACCGTAGAGTACATAGTAATTGTTCAATAAACGATAGCTACTATTAAGTCCTCTGCAGGTGATGAGGAATATAACTTGACTATTTTCTATGCTTTTTACCAATCTGAGCACCAAAGTTTTCTTGACAAATCGTTTTCCCTCTGAGAGGTGTTCATGCTTCTCATACTGATAGCGCCACGACTCTGGAGATAAGGAGGTTAGGGAGAGATGAGTAACTGTGTCCTATCCCTTCGTTTCCCCCTCCTTAGCCAGCTGGCTCCCTGGCTGCAGCCCTCCTGGTTCTCCTTGCTGCCTCTCTGCCCTTTGAAGACGTCTGTCTCCTCTCTCCAGCTTGGAAAGATCAGCCCCACCCAGCCAGAACTTCTGGCTTCCCTGACCCCGACTCTCCCCCACATCTTCTGTGCTTTTCTCTTCATTTTGCAGACAGCTGGGGAAGAGGTCAGCATGTGTGAATGTCTCTGCACCATAGAGACGCTAATTCCAGGATGCTCGACACGTAACTTCATTGGGCAGGAGGTCCCTAGTGTTTTTCACTTCTGCTGTTCTGGATTTGTGTGTGTACACTCACATTCGGGGGCAAGGCTGAGGGTTAGAAATGGCACTTCTAAATCTCCCCCCGCCCTGCTCTAGGCAGGATGGCCCTTAGCCTGTAATAAGGGAACCTTACATGGCAGTAGGACTCCTCCTACATAGGAGAAGTCACCCGAGGTTGGGGCCGGAAATCTCAGGTCAATGTCCACTTGGACCAGAACCATGTTCTTCACTAGGGGTGGAAGAGGGGTAGGGACAGAGGAATGAGGGAGTGTACAGGGAACATAAAGACCAGACTCCACTGGAAAAAAAAGACAAAAAAAAAAGACTAAAGACAATACTATGCATCAATTAAAAGCAAAGTGGCTCATCTACATACGGTATCACGAAAAGATATCCAAGACATGCTATTAAGTAAAAAAAGAAATCACTGATCAACATGGATATTAAATCATCTTTATGCCTCTTTTAAGTGCAAAATATGTGAGGAGATGAGAAAGGAATGGGGCTGTAAAGTTTTCTGTGTTTCCATGTTTTGCAGTTCAACAGAGATTGAACTGTGGACAACACTGGAAACTCTGGCTTCAGTGTGCTCACATTTTTTTCAATCTCAATGACAGGGATGCCGGATGGGCACCCTGAAGACGTGGGGCGCTCCTGGACAACACACGTGCTCGGCCCACCCTGCTCGGTTCTCCCCAGAAGACAAATACATACTCTCTACTCCGAATCACGCCAAGAAACACTTCAAGGTGTTGATGACTCAGCAGTCCTGCCCTGTCCTTGGAGGGCCCCTTAAATTTCACGTCTCCCCTGTCCCCTGCCACCCCTCTGAAACTTTCCAAAATGAAGCTCTTGGACCTGTGGGCCTTGAAGCCGTCTTGACCAGTCTTGCTCCCTGGTGCCTGGTCGGTGGTATTGTGGCCTTTGGTTATGCTTGTGTGAGGCAGTCATTGTAGCAACCCCCTTCAAGGGGGCAGGTTTGCATCTTTTTATATTTTGACTCACTGCCAGATTATTTAAATGATTTGAAAGAAAAAATAGCTCTGGCTGGTGTGGCTCCGTGGATTGAGCCACCAGCCTGCAAACCAAAGGGTCGCCAGTTCGATTCCCAGTCAGGGCCCATTCCTGGGTTGTGGGCCAGGTCCCCAACTGGGGGCGTGTGAGAGGCAACTGGTGGACATTTCTTTCTCTAGCACTTTAATGTTTCTCTCCCTCTCTTTCTCACTCCCTTCCCCTCTTTCTGGGAATAAGTAAATAAAAATATGATTTAAACAAAGAAAAATTATGCAACAAGTATATACTTATGTATTTATATGCAATTAAAAAGTATGTTTTTATAGCAAAAGCGGCACAGTTTAAAGTATAAGTGGGTTTAGAAAAGGAAGGGAAGGGCTCCCAGGGGTGGAAAACGGGACTTCCCGTGAAAGAACCCGTCCCTGATGAAGCCCGGGTCTGTCCCTTTGCTGCGGAACGTAGGACTGTCTCCCGTGGCAACTTGGAAGATGACTATGTGCTCTCCAGCCCCCCGTTCAACCCCGAAGAGCCCCACAGCTGACCCCAGGTTATCAGAATGCTCCCAGGGGTCCACGAAAACATCCAAATGTCTAACTGGTAAGAAAAAGTGGGAAGAGGAAAACGAGGAGGAGAGAAAATTGCCAGGATCTGCAACGGGGGCGGGGGGTGCAGACTCCTACACTCAGCAGTGGCCACGACCGGCTCTCCTGTGGAGGGCTCCAGTCCTGGCGCAAGTTTAACCCCAGCTCTAGGCTAAAAATCACACTTTCTACCAAGTCACCCATGTATTTCCTTTTGATTCTAAGGTCATTTTGTATATGAAAATGCTCAGCTCCAAACAAACACATGAAACGGCCTGCCCAAGGTTACACGGCAAGCCAGAGGCAGAACCTGTCTTCAGGATCCTAACTGATGTTTGTTTTTATCCATTCTCACCACGTTGCGCTATTGAAACCATGTCAACTTTAACCTTGACCCCAGCCTCAGTCCTAATCACCATGGGCTTAAGTGCTTCTGACCCTAACCCGGTAGAAATGGCTGGTTTTGCTTTCTGTCCCTCCTTGCTTCCTCCTTCCATCTTAAAACCTAGAATTTTTCTCCTGGCCATGTTTTTATTTGTTTGTTTGTTTGTTCTTTGTATTTTAAAAAGGGCAATCCCGGGTGGGAGGGAAGGAGTGGATTTTCTCCCTGGCTGCGATGGCTCCGAGGTGCCTGGCTCTTCTCTGCACGTTGTGGAAGAGGACCCTGTGCAGGAGGGCTTTGGAGTTTACGCCAAGTGAGCCATCTCCCTTCTCGCCCTGGATGCCTTTCTAGAGCCACCTCTCGGCCCCAGCCATGGAGGAGGACCACAGGGTCGCAGAGGCAATGATTCAAGGGCTTTAAGACCCTGAGACGAAGTGTTCGCAGAGAGATCATGAAAGAAAATTCGTGGTGGGCAGGGATCAGTCAACTTGGACAACAGCAGCAGCTGAGTTCAGGGGTCAGTGTCTGGGAGTAATTTAGGAAAGTTCGGTGCTGACAGCTGTGTCTGAAGTTGAATGTCATGGGCTGAGCCAGCTCCTGAGCTCCTCCACTGCTTCAGGCTAACAAAGCTCTGGCTCAGGCCGCAGAGACGGTTGTGTGCGTGTGGCAGAAGTCAGGGCCCCTGGGGCCCCAGGATCCCCGTGCTACTTGCCAGCAGTGTGAGCTTAGGCAAGACCTTGGGGAAGGAGGAAAGGAAACTGGCGTCTACTGAGTGCACGCAATGCCCTTCCGCAGATGTCGCCCTCACTACAGGGTAGTGAAGAGGGACGTCCCTGTTTTACACGGGAGGACGCCGAGGATTTGTGAGGGTAAACTGAGTCATTCCAGGAGAGTGGAAAGATGGAATCAGGACTCCGAGCTTCTGAAGTGCAAGTTCTGGGCTCTCTCTCCCCTCAGCTCTAGCTTATATCCCCCTTAAAACAGGGACAGTAATGCACCCATCTCATGAATGAAGTCACAAGTCACACGCTGTAGATTCTAAACCTCCCCCACTTCTCACAACCTTGGCCTGCAGAGGTGTGGCCACCTTCCTTCTGGGAATACAGTCCCCTTACTTTTGCCCTTCTCCCCAGTCCTGTCTGTGGGTCCAGGCCCCAGGAGGTACCTCGAAGGGAGGTGTTTGAACTTGGGTTTTCCCTCTGCCTCTACCCCCAGGCCTTCCACGGACTCTGGAGGGCCGGCTCCCTTCCCCTCCCGGGTTCCGGCAGGCGGACTAACATCATTGGGTGTTCCCGGGGAAACTGGGAACCCGGAGCCCAGCTCCAAGGCGCCTTCCCCCACCGCCCAGGGCAGCCCTGAGCCCCTGCCGTGGATACTGCGGCGTCTCCAGGTCTCTCCGAGGGCAGCCCGCTCCCCTGCCCACCTCCCCTCGGAGGAGGACGGACAGCTCGAGCCCCGGGAGTGGAAGTTGGGAGACTCCGGCGAGCCCCAGGCGCCACGCGGCCGAAACCAGGAAACGGATCCGGGTTCTGGGGTTACGAGGGGAGCTGTCCAGCCCCGCGGGGCGAGCTGGAAGAGAGGGTGGGCCTTCGCGGGCGAGGCGGGGGCGGCGGCGGGCGCCAGGGTCGGGTGGGGCTGTGACTGCCCCTTCGGCCCGCCGGCCCCGGGCGTCGCCCCCGCCCCCCGCGTGGCCGCCGCCGTCCCAGCCCCTGCGAGGAAGCGGCGCGGCTTCCTGCGGCCGGGGCCGGGGATATAGGCGCCCCCGCCCGGGCTCGGCGCCGCCGCCCCTCCTCGCTTGCCTGCCGCGCGCGCGATGGCCCGGCTCCGGGCAGAGAGTGCCGCCGGCGGCCGGTGGATCCCGGCGACCCGCGCGGGGGGACCCTCAGCGCTCCGCCTCCTCCTCCTGCTGGGCGGTGAGCGCATCGCGCCGGGGCGCGGGTGGGAAGCGCGGGAGGCCCTGGAGGGAAGTGGGGCTGGACGCCCGAGGCTGCAACGGGCCCGGGGCTGCGGTGCAGACAGCACCGTCCCCTTGGGGCTGTCCCTGGCCCCACCTCGGAAAGGACGCCGCGCAAGCTGCTTCCCACTTGGGGAAAGTTGGAGCGGGGCCCCCGCGGAGAGCTTTTGGGACGTCTGGGGCTGGCGAGGAGGCAGGAGGTGTGGGATCTGAATGTGAGTGGGAAGGAAAAGGAGCTGGTACTAGCCCCTCTCTTCTGGACCCTGAGGCACCCGTGGGTGGATTATTCCTCCGTCTCTTCTGAGAGTAGCTTTGACTTCCAACGGGCTCAGCCTCCAACTCACACACCCATCCTCCAGGCTCCACTGCTATTCCATCTCCTGTCCCATTTCTGCCCACAGCTGTCCTGAAGCCCCAGGATGGCGCGGCTCAGCTTCTCGCCACCCCAAGCAGCTTGGAGTCAGAAGGTGAGTGGCCAGCCGCTGTGGGGAGGTGGCCCGTGGCAAGAGGAGAGGCAAGTCACGGGCGAGGGTTCCTTTCCCGCAAGACAAGCTCCTAAGCTGGCCCACCTCACAGCTGGGTTGGAAGACCCCAGAAAAAGTGTATGTGGACATCTCATTTCTGTCCACAGCTGTCCGGAAGCCCCAGGAATCCATGGCTGAGCTTCTCGCCACCCCAAGCAGCTTGGTGTCAGAAAGTGAGTGGCCTGAGGCTGTGGGGAGGTGGCCTGGGGCAAGAGGAGAGGCAAGTCAGCGAGGAGGGTTTTTTTGTTGTTGTTTCCTACAAGGCAGGCCTCTTAGCTGGCCCGCCTCACAACTGGGTTGGAAGACCCTGGAAAAAGTGTGTGTGGGAACTCTTATCAGCCTGGGAAGTGCCGTGCGCATGGAAGGCATTCAAATTTTCCTGAGCTAGGACTTGCTCCTCAGCAGGTTGCTTGGGAAACTTTCTGAGGCTGTCCTGGCAGTTCCTACATTTAAAGACAGTTTGGCTCTTGGATGGAAGTCTCTGGACCAGAGGGCTTGGAGGGAGGGGCGGGGTGTGCTCAGTGTGCAGTATTAATGCCCACAGAGAAGATGACTGAAGAGTACCGTGACAGAATTGGAGGTTGCTGGCAAAACTATACGGATTATATGGACTCTATCAAAGGAGACTGGTGCAACTGGGCCATCATTAGCAGGTAGGGGCCGTGCTGGAGGGTGGTTTGGGCCAGGGATGGGGCTTGCTTTTTGTGGGTGGGCCTTGAGTAAATGTGGGGTGCTCCTCTCCGTGGGCCCAGCCCCCGCCCCTCACTCTCGGCCTCTCCTGCCCCCAGGCCTTATAGCAACCTGCAGAATTGTTTGGAACAGAATGCGGACCACTTTCACCTGGGCTTCCCCAATTCCATGGCAGAACAGGTCATCTTTCAGACTCACCAGATCCACTTTGCCAACTGCTCCTTGGTGCAGCCCACCCTCTCAGACCCCCCAGAAGATGTGCTTCTGGCCATGATCATAGCCCCCATCTGCCTCATCCCCTTCCTGGTCACCCTCATGGTGTGGAGGAGTAAAGACAATGAGACTCAGGCCTAAGTGGCAGGAGTTTCTCAGCAGCCGCCTCACTCCTTTCTCCTGCCACCACCAGGTCTCTCTCCTTGTGTCCCCACCCCCTTCTCTCACTCGCTCCCCATACGGAGCCCTAGACTGGTGGAAATGGAGCTGGGTGGGGTCATGGCACAAATTCTGTAATCTTCAAAATAAAAGGTTTCTTTTGTACACTGTCCTCCTCACCCCAGCGGGGCCTGTGTCCTTCCCAGAGGCTGACATTCCCACGGGCCCCCAGCTCTGGGCAGCAGAGCTGGAACAGTACGGATAGACCCGCTGCTTTGTTCACGCTCAGGCTCCTCACAGGCACCCCCACCCCCCACACATACACACAAGGCCACACTCCGACATCCCTTCCGCCCAAGGTGGGGCCTTTCCTGCTCCCATCCAAACCCAGCTTCAGGAAGCATGCAGGAAGAGACTCCCTTCCTCTCCGGACAACTGCTGGGGAGGTGTATGTCGGGGGGTGGGGTGGGGGGAGGGCTCTCACTGTGACTCCTACAAGAAGGAAGGGGGGCCCACCCAGGAGCCCTGAATTTCCCCCTCATTCATGTTCACTCCTAGAGACTGGGAATAGGAACCCTGATCTGAACAACTGGAGCCCACCCCAAAGACCTCAGGACTGAAGACAAAGGCAGTGGGGGCTCCCCTCTGCTAGGTTCACCACAGGACTCCCCCCTCCAGGTCCCTGGCCCTCACCCTACAATGGTCTGGACCTCGGGTGTGTGGCCTACAGCTTTACTGCCCCCTGGTGTCCACTGAAGCCAAAACAGCAGCAGATGGATGTGTGGTGGAAGAAGCTCAACACGAGATTGGACCCTGAGGTCAGAGACCTGCCATCTCTGCAGCAGACACTATTTCTTAGCTGGACCCTTGTATCAGCCTCCTGAGTCATACTGATGCTCCCTTAAGATGCTTCCCCGCTGTGGACATAAGAAATGTCCAGACCTGTAGAGAATTTTTATAAAAGTTTATTGGAGCCCAAGCTGACAGCATATGCCAGCAGCAAGCTCTCGGCTGCTCTGAAGAATTGCGGTTTTGCAATTTCTTTTATGCACTTGAAATTAAGGAAGGGACATAAGGTGGATTGTGTGAAGGTGGGAGAAAGTAACGTGGGGATTGGATTTTAGGATAGTTAAGATTGTTTGCTCTTTGAGAGTGGTTATGTCTTAGAAGCAGGGGTTTGAAAAGGCATTTGCAAAGGTGTGTTATCCTAGATACACAGGAATAACGGACAGAGCTTGCGTAAGGCAATAAACCTTTTACTAAAAATGTATATGTCTGGGGCGTGACTACCCACTATGACCTGCCCAGTTAGCAATTTATGATTTGTTACAGCACCCCTTTTTTTCACCCACACCACTTTCTGGGGACATACCTAGTCTCCATGACACCATTTCAGTGTAGGGACACTCCTGGAGGTCCCCTGGGTAGTGAGGCTCAGGCCTCACCAGGGAAACTTCACCCCCAGTTCTCCTTGGGGCATACCGGCCAGGTGACCAAAAATATCTAGAGTCCTGCCCAGGGTGGCTCAATTGGTTGGGTGTCATTCTGCAAGACGAGAGATCACTGTTTTGATTCCTGGTCAGGGCACATGCCCGGGTTGCAGGGTTAGTCCCTGGTCAGAGCACACAGGGGAGGCAGCTGATAGAAGTTTCTCTCTTGCATCAAGGTTCCTCTCCCTCTCTTTCTCCCTCCCTTCCCTTCTCTATAAAAATAAATAAATAAATAAATACACCTTTAAAAATTATCTAGAGAACAACTTTGTTCTCCATACAGGCACCTGTTTATTCCTCACGGCACCTAAAGTCTCTTCAGGAACTTTCCTTTCCTCCTTGCTGAAATATCTGCCTCCGCCAGTGCATGCATAGCCATTTCCCAGACACGCCTGTCTAGTCCTTAGATTCATGCTTGTGTGCTTCCTGGAATGAATCTGCTCATTCTCTGAGACACACTTCTCCTCTCGGGACATATCTGTCTATCTAGAGACACACCATTTTTCACCTGCGACAAATCTTTTCTCTGTTTCCATGAATGAGTATGCCTTCTCCAAAGGTATACCTATGCTTTCCTTGGCTCACATATGCCTTCATGAATTTCACTAATGTACATCAAAGGCGCGTTGGTGTAAGGCACTGTGTGTGGCATATTGCATTGGACAGATAAGTTAGATAAGACTTGGTTTCTGGTCTCAGTGGCTTTCATCCAGTAGGGGAGCTGACATGCGCAAAGACACAAAAACGATGGAGTGTGTGCTGAGAGTTGTGCAGGGAATACAAACCAAATGTTCGTATGAGTGCAAAGGAAGGATGCGTCCCATCTAGCAGAGGTGTGATTCCGGGAGGGAAGATCACAAGAGGGTGCTGGTGGAATGGCTACATGAATGGGCTTTAGGTGGAGTGCATTCCCTTGGCCGGGGGCGGTGGGTGGAGAGGAGAAAGGGAGATGAATCAGGAAACAATTGTAATCATCCAGGCTTGAGAAAAGGAGGACATGAACCAAAAAATGTGGTGAATGGAGAAAAGAAAAATAATTTAAAAGTGAGAGAGATGATTAAAAACAGGAGGGAATCAACAGGATTTGGATGTGAAGCAGATGACGCAGAGGAGCCATTAGAGCTGACTCAGCCTTTGAACCTCAGTTACTCAGACAATGATGGAAGTCATCACAGAAAAGGGCCATTCATAGGAGGAGGCAGCCTGAAAAAGAGGATGTGCAATATGGGGTAAGAATGGAACAAGCTGTTCTATCTCACAGCGGGTTGGAAATGGGGCGGCGGTGGAAATAGGGTGGAGCTGGAAACGTAGGTGTAGGAGTATCCTGCACAGCAATGTCACGTAAAGCCATGAGAAGGATGAAAGTTCTAAGAGTGAAGGTGTATTGAAAAGAAGACTGAGGTTAGGTACTTAGGAAAACCCCACATTTAAAGTAAGAGGGAAAAAGGAGACAAAGGCAAAGATTAGAGAGACAGTAGGAGAACAAGGGTAAGGCAGCGCCATGGGAGCAAAGGAGACGGCGCCCTTTGCAAGACCATTATCAACTGAATGGTTCCTTCATTCATTCAACCGAGATTTGTCGGGCGTTCTGTGAACCAGGAACTGTGCACAGTGGAGACACTGGGGATCAGACAGGGAGTTGAGAGGATGGCAAAGTCAAGGACGTGACATAGTTTCTTTTTTTTTTTAATTGAGTTTCTTAGGGTGGCATTGGTTCACCAAACCATACAGGTTTCAAGTGTACAACTTAATAACGCATCATCTGCACACTGCATCAGGTGCCCATCGCCTCAGGCAAAGTCTCATTCTGCCCCACCCCCGCCACCCCGCCTCTGGCTGTCACCACACTCTTGTCTGTGTCTATGGGTTATGTATATACATTTTTTGGTTAATCTTTTCATTTTCTTTCATGCGGTTTCCCATCCTCCCTCCCCTCTGACAGCTGTCAGTCTGTTCCATGTATCTTTGCCTCTGTTTCTATTTTGTCAGTTTATTTTGTTCATTAGATTTCACATGGAGGTGAGGTCATGTGGTATTTGCCTTTCTCTGACTGGCTTATTTCACTTAGCATAATAATCTCCAGGTCCATCTATGCTGTTGCAAAAGGTAAGATATCCTTTTTTGTGGCTGAATAGTATTCCATTGTGTATATATACCACAGGTTTTTTATTGTATTTTTTTCCATTACCATTTAGTTCCCTTATATCTTCCCCACCCCCTGCACTCACCACACTGTTGTCCATGTCCACGAGTCCTTTTTCCTTTTTGTTCAATCTCTCTACACATAACCTCTCCCCACTGTACCACAGCTTTTTAAAATTCTTTTTTATTTATTAATTTTGAGAGAGGGAGAAAGAAACATGACTTTGTTGTTCCACCCATTTATGCATTCATTGATTGGTTCATTCTTGTATGTGCCCTGACTGGAAATTGAACCTGTAATCTTGGCATATTGGGACTGCTCTCTAACCAACCAAGCTACCCAGCTAAACCTGTACCACACCTTTTTTATCCACTCATCTACTGATGGGCACTTGGGCTGTTTCCAGACCTTGGCTGTATAAATAACACTGCAATGAACACAGAGGTGCATCTATTCTTTTCGATTAGAAGGACTCTACATAGTTTCACATAGGGACGACCTCCACACATTTGTAGACTAGGAGAGAGGAGGTAGGGGAAAGAAAATTAGGGAAGATGATGCACAGAGGAGTCCTGGAAGACGTTGAAAAGGTGAGGCAAGAACATATGCCAAGGGGTTGCCCTTATTAAGGAAGAGCAACACTTCTTCCTCTGAGCCCAAAAGGAAGGAGTAAAAGTGAAGAGCAATTTTTGAGAGATGGATCAAGCATGATCACAGATGGAAAGGGAAAGATCAATAGGTTCACATTCATGGCCTCAGTGTCATAAAATAGAATTAAAGGGCATTCTGCGGGGGGGGGGGGGATATGGGGACACGTGGAATGGCTTCATGAGTGTGGACAAGTTTGAAGAGTTACCTTGAGGGATGTGACAAGGAGTCAATAAAAGACAAAGGGTCGGGAGCATTTGAGATCTTGCTCCTCAGCATACGTTGTCCATTTGGTTCAAATAAACTCTTAAAAATAAAAAGTCAAAGGGTCACTGGCTGCTCTGAGAGCCCAGCAGTGAGGCGAGTGAAGGAATCTGGGGCTCAGTCAGCATGTTCTGGTGATTTTGTTTTTGTTATATTGCCCTGTGAAGGAATGACAAAAAGGGAGTGTAGGTGGGCAACTATCCTGGTTTGGAAACTGACCATCAGGCAGTAGGTATGCAAGGGGCAGAATTGAGTAGTCTAGCCTGGTTAAAGAGTCAGATAGACCAAAAGGGGTCTCGGACTTGAGACCAGGAAAGTGAGGACTTAAGATGAGAGAGAGAGAGAGAGAGAGAGAGAGAGAGAGAGAGATGGCTGTGCTCAAAGGTGGCAACTCGGAATCACGGAAGCACAGCTGTTTCCACAGATCAAAGTTATGAATGTGCTCCCACAGGTGCAGCAGGAGACTGAGGAATGGTGAAAAGTCGAAGGTCGTAGGAATTGAGGAGACCGGGGGATTATGAGGCGTTTTACTTAAATGGCAACTGACGGACACAAATGTTAATATTGAAAGAAGCCTAGCATAGTGGACACAAGCCTAGGCTGGGGTCTGGAGACCCGGG